CGTAATTTCTGGTAAGCGCTCCATTAAAGGTATTATCTATTAGTAAATAAACTTATCTTTTCTGAATTTTAAAGAATTTTTTTTTAAATGTTGTGGTTTACACTTGCCCCAAAAAAAACTCCCTTGGGGCAAGTATGAAATATGGTAGGTTACACTTGCCCCAATAATTCTATTACGTTTACACTTTCCCGTTGTTTTCAGAACATGGTCCGGAATTACATACGTAAGAAAGCTCCTCCAGCCTATAGCAAAAACGATTTGAAAGAGGCAGTACAAGCTGTGCAAAGAGGTACTCTAACATTATATAGAGCTGCATTATTGTACAAAGTACCCAAAGCTACTTTATTTGCTCATGTAAAGGGTAAACGGGGTATAAAAAGTAATACGGGGGGTAGGGCACCAGCTCTGCCTTATGATGTAGAACAAAAATTTTCCAACAGTATTAAAATACTCGAAAAATGGGGTATGGGACTATCAAAGAGAGAAGTTCTTCAACTAATTGGGCGGTATGTGAAAGAAAATAATATAGTAACCCCTTTCAAGAATGGAGTTCCTGGCAATGATTATTTCGTCAGATTCACGAAAGCATTTCATTTAAGCCAGAAAAAACCGCAATCTGTGAAAGTGGCTCGAAAGAGGTCTATGGATCCATTTGTTATGTATGATTACTTCAGTATCCTCAAACAGCATATTGAAAATATCCCAGCATCGCAAATTTATAATATTAATGAAACCGGTTTCTGCCTGGATCCATCCCGGATAAAAGTTGTTGGAGAGAAGGGTAGAGCAGCCCATAGGACAACAAGTGGTCCAGGACGAGATAATATAACAGTTCTCCTTGGGGGAAACGCTGCAGGTGAAAAACTTCCTCCACTCGTAGTGTTCAAGGGTAAACACATATGGAATCGTTGGATTCCAACTGAGGAATACCCGGGAATGACTTATTCAGCCACTAAAAATGGGTGGATGGAAACGGAAACCTTTCAAAAATATTTTGAAAACAATTTTTTACCAAATATTGGCAAAGACAGACCTACTGTATTAATTTATGATGGTCACACGTCTCACATTAGTATTTCTTTGATAGAAAAGGCAATAGCTAATGATGTGATTATAGTGAAACTTCCGCCTCATTCCAGCCATCTGCTACAACCTATGGATTTATGTGTTTTTAAGTCATTAAAAATGGCATGGGATGGCAGAGACAAAACTATGGTACGAAACTACCAAAACCTATGTTTTGTACCATTTTATCAAAAATCTGGTCACAAGTAAACCCTTCGTTACTTATCAAAGGATTTGAGAAAGGGGGGATATATCCTTTTAATAATGAGGTCATTCCCATTGAACATTACGATCCAGAAGCATATAAAAGGTGGTGTGATTCAAACTGCAAAAATAACAATCCGGAAGAAGCACAAGTAGCGCAACCAAATTTACGATCAACATTAGAAGAGCGTTTTAATTTGCCATCCACTTCAACAGTACCACCAATAACTCCGCAGACATCGTCAGTAAATTCAATAAATCCGGAAATGCCATCGATCAGTTCAGAACACCAGAATCCGCCAGTTAACAACACAAAAAGTTTTGAGAGCATTCTCTTAGAACAGCTAAAACAGATGCCAAAACCAGCGAAATCGATCAGAAAGAGAGTATGGATAGGTGCCGAAGTTATTACATCCTTGGAAGCAGTTGCTAAATTGAACGAGAAAGCAAACAAAATTAAAAAACCAGAGAAGTCGACAACTAAGAAAGATGGTAAAAAATTGAAAAGAAAGCAAGTATACGAAGAAGACACAGATGAAGATAGTTTTGAAGAAATGGAAGTCAATACTTCAGATGATGATTTTGACTTAGACGATGAAGTAAATGATTTGCGTGAAGAAGAAGAATTCGTGAAATACCTGGAGAAAGATCCTCAAGAACTGAAAATAGGGGACTGGATTCTAGTAAAATTTGCTACTAAAAAATCATTTAAATTTTATGTAAGGCAAGTAACAGAAGTAGAGCCATGTTTAGAAGCAAAATTTGCAAGACGCTCGGGATCTTCATCACAATTTCATTGGCCAGATACTCCAGATGTCTCAGTTATAAGAAGAGATGAAATACAACACTGTTTGCCTGCCCCAGATATTCACAGAAGAGGACACTTCCATTTCAACATCACATTTGAGCAAAATATATCCTAAGTGATTTTTCCTAGTAAAAAAAATCTGATTATATTTAGTCTCTTCTTTTATTTACACTAGTCCCAATCAAGTGTCAACACTTTTGTAGTAATTCAGACAGCGTATTTACACTTGCCCCAATTTGCTGGGGAAGTGTAAACCATTATTCTAACATGAAAAAAATAATTTCTAGAAAAAAATCTATACTGATTTTGTTTTGTGTTTGTAGATTTCGTTTCTACATATACTTAAGACTATACTCTCAAAATTTCAGTGAATATTATAATTAAAAATAGGAAATACAACGCGGAAAAGTTGAACTATTGAAATTTTGGGTCACACTTGCCCCGGTGTACCTTAACTTGAATTAAAGAAGAGATAAAAAAGGAATGCATGGTTACCTAAATTATATGTTTGGAGGGTTGAGTAATATTGTTTTAGCCTTGTGTCGAAAGACAGGTAATGAAAATTCTTTATATACTTTAGAAAGGTCATTATAAATAATAGCAGCATTGTAGGAAAAACTGCGTTCAAAAAGTGTAGACGTATGCTGGGGTACTCTAGTATTCTCCTCTCTGAGAGTTCTATAGAGAACATCATTATTAAATGGAATTTTTTCCCTCAAGTAGGAGAGCTTAGACGTGAGCAGCAACTTGTGAACAAAAGCTGGATAGTGATACTTGACCTAGTCATTAATTTTTAACCAGTTTAGAGAGGGATATTTGCTGATACATGATCAAATTTACGTAAGCCAAAGATGCAATGTATACAATTGTTTTGTATAACTTGAATAACGTTTTTGGTGAAATTGTCTAAACAAGTGTAGTATTCGATATTGCAATAATTTATGACCAATGCTTCGCATAGTTTTTTACGCAACTTAATGTTTCGTAAATACCTGTTTGCTATAAGAGTACGTAGCCTTAGGTAGGTTTTCTCGGAAAAACTTTTAACATATTCAATAAACCTCAATTTTGCTTCAAGAACAACACCGAGAACTTTTGCAGAATCAGAAAATTGCAAGATTTGGTTATTTATCTAAATGTGTTACATTGTATGTTTTACCTTGTGCCCAAAATAATAACATCTTTTGTGGATTAATTAGTAGATTACGATCTGAAGAGTATTTAATTAATATAATAACATCGTTTTGTAAAATTTGGGTAGAATTATTGATATTGTCTGGGTTAAAATAATGGAGCAACTGCGTATCGCCTGCAAATGACTGGGCATGAGAATTATGAATGCTTTTGCTTAAGTCGAAAGTATGTATGAGGAACAGCAGCGGCCCCAATACAGAGCCCTGAGACACGCCTGAGGGAATTACTGTGAATGTTTATTTTGCCATTTTTTTGTGTAATACTATGTCTGGTCTATTACTGTATATAGTTCTATCCGTCAGTATAGAGCGATCGTAGAACAACTTGAAATTTTGATTTTCCATCACAAATTCTGGTGTGTATTTGTAGTAGAGTGTATTTATTATCTTTACGATGTAACCCATTTCGAATGTCTTGACTTTGATGAATGATGGTATTTGATTACGTCTTTGTGTGTGATCGTTCTGGGCAAGTGAGGGGCATCCTCCCGTTATATGCTGTACGTTTTCCGTTTTTATACGACACATTTGACATTTATCATACTCTCTTGTTGGGTTGTTTATGTTATACTTCTTGTAGCTTTTGGTGTTTATGACTTGATCTTGGAAGGCCATCATGTAACCAGTTGTTTATGGAAAAAGCTCTCCTACGATAAGTCATGCGTGCGACGCCGTCATGTGGACATTTAGTTCTTGAGCGTGACTCGTTTGTCTGTAACGTTTTGGTCTGCCATATGTTGAGTCTCTCGACTAACGTTCTGATGCATCCATGGGGCTGCGACTTACCATAAGGTAAAGAAAGTCCTTTCGATGGACTGTAGCGTTTACTGTGGGCTGATGGACTTTGGCTAAATTATCAGCAATGTTTACTTTAGTTTCCTCATCTACGTCGTCGTCAGAGATAAGACAGAGACCTATCTGTCAAATATCATAAATGTTTGCCGAACTCTTGTAAAGCTGATCTTAAAATGTTTTTTTCAATTCTTTCGTAATGATACATTGTGAAGTTTTGACATGTTCCAACGCAACTCGGCACGGAATGCCCTGGATCTAGGTACATACACTTTATTTACAATCATGTTGACATTGTTCAAGCAAAATTAGAGGGCACGCGTTTGAAAAAAAGAACTTTTATGTTTTGGGACACCCTACTATTGGGGTATTATATTTTTAACCATACATGAGCAACCTTGGCACCAAAACATAACTGCTTCAGCTTGGCGATCACAGGGTACCTATATTAGAAAAAAAAATAATCTCAGACTTTCAGTTTCCTTCTGATGAATCGTGTAGGACCTTAAAAGCTAATCACCTAGGGCACACCTTACAGGTTTAACGAATTTTACGAATATTTTCTCTTTTCATCGTTTCGCATAAGCTTCGCAGATAGAAATAAACCTACCCTACCCCTTCCGATTAATTTCATGTGATTAGGAAGGTCTTTTTTTAAAAGGTTGCAATTCTTGGGGTTTCTTGGGCTTATTCTGTAGGAATTCTGTCATCTGGCAACACTAGATCGCCGGTCGACAGAAGACAGAGTACGTCTGCAATCAACATCCTGAAAAGTGTCGTAAAATAGTTCTCCAAATCCAATAAAGTTATAAAATACAGTCCAACACGTTGTTCATCGTCCCGATCAAACCAGCAAAATTCATACTTATCCGAACGTTTTATCAAAATAAACTCTAGTTACTTATCTTGAGATTTTTTATATAATCACGTTTGTAAGCATTCACACTGCTACATGAGATAGCAAAATAATTATCAATGATTGCATTAGTACTATTAAATCGTTGGAATGTTTTTATTTGTGTGACATGTTGAATGCTGAGTCAAACGGGGATTTACTCATTGCTTAACTCATGAATCAACATAAATATGAATACATTTCTGTTTTCACGTTTATTTTCAAAAGCGAGCCTTTAGATAAGTATTAGCAATGTATTCTCAAGCTGTGGTTCTGTTTCTATGTGCCTTTAATGTGATGAGTGCAACAGCTGATGGTAAGTGTACACAACTCTTATCACTAACTTCAACTTCTAAAAGAATTTGATCGAATTAGAATATCTCAAATCATAGATCTTGTTTTACGTTTGTTATACAGGGTGTCCCAGAAGTCGACGTCAAGCCGAAACCGGGTGATAGGCAAAGTCATAACAGCTATCAGAAAAATATTTAAAAAATGTTTATGTATGTGTTTTAAAAATTATAGGTCTTTGTAAAAGTTATAGAAATTTCACACCCTACGGCAGTGTGTCAACTCCTGTTACTACAAATATTAACTTTTTTTTGATTTTATTTTTACAATGTAATGATGAATAATGCATCCTCAAACTGGTGTCTCAACCTTACTGCCAACTTTTCTCGTTCAGGAAAAATTGCCACTTATTTCCCAACCAAGTATTCCAAAGTAAAACTTTGCTCAACTTTAACTGGCTGTACTGGAAAAAAATGTACTACGAGAGTTTGGCAAGTAACCTTAAAAGTTGGCGCATTTAATAACGATTCCAAAATGGTATAACACTTAGAAGATTACTCGTTAACTTATGCACAATTTTTATTTGAAAAAAAACTAATGAAAATTTTTCAAAATTTCCTAAAAAAAGTCTAACGGATTCAAATCTGGTGACCGGGCTGGCCACGGTATTGTACCAGACCGCCCTATCCATCTGCCTGGAAAGCTTTGATCGAGATACTGTCTCACTTAGAGTACATAGTGCGCTGGGCAGCCATCATGCTGAAACCACATGTCCCTGTAAATACTCAGTGGCACGTCCACCAATAAATTTTGTACATGATTTTTCAAAAAATCCAAATAAACTTCAGCAGTCAAAGTCTCTGGGAACTCAAACGGACCGATTATTTTACCATTTAAAATTCTTGTCCAAATGTTTATCTTGAAGCGATATTGAGACTTATCTTCTCTCATCAAATGTGGGTTTGCTACGTACGAGAGGTTGAACACGCTGTATGTGGTATGGATGAAGCACATCACTTACTTGCTATTGCACACTTTGATACCGATCAGTACTCCTTCGTTTACTGCGCATCTTTACATGTTCGGGGCTCATAATCCCGGGGCAGGAGAGGTTGAACACGCTGTATGTGGTATGGATGAAGCACATCACTTACTTGCTATTGCACACTTTGATACCGATCAGTACTCCTTCGTTTACTGCGCATCTTTACATGTTCGTGCTTGTTGATTTCGTACTGTTACTAATTTTGGATTCGTGAACTGGACTGTTGATCGCTTGTGATTTGGATTTGGACTGTTTAATTGCTCTTCAAAACAACATTTGCTTTCCTTAGACTGTCTTTGATAGTGTGACTGTGCAGTGCCGCTATGTCCGTGTACACCGTACAAGAATATGCTAACATGCACCTCATTTATGGGGAATGCAGATGCAACGCTAGTGCTGCAGCGAGACTTTACTGTGAGAGGTACCCGAATGCAGCTCGTCATCCAGATCATCGAGTGTTCACAAATGTGCACCGCTTACTGTTCTCAGAGGGCCAACTACCAAACCAATCACACGGTGAGGGAAGATCTTTCCTTCCTTACGAAGACGTGGTGCTAGGAGCTGTCGAAGAAGACCCGAGTACTCCAGTGCGTGCAATAGAACTAAAAATAGGTGTGCCCAAAAGTACAGCCCATAGAATCTTGCAAAAAAACGTGCTCCATCCATACCACGGACAGCGTGTTCAAGCTCTTCTGCCCCGGGATTATGAGCCCCGAGTTGCTTTTTGTCGCACAATGTTAGAAAGACACAGGGAAGATCCACGGTTCTTTGAAAAAAATGTATGGTCAGATGAGACCACATTTAAGAAAGATGGGTACATGAACCTGTATAACTTACACGAGTGGCACGTAGCAAACCCACATTTGATGAGAGAAGATAAATCTCAATATCGCTTCAAGATAAACCATTGGACAGGAATTTTAAGTGGTAAAATAATCGGTCCGTTTGAGTTCCCAGAGACTTTGACTTCTGATGTTTATTTAGGTTTTTTGCAAAATCATTTAGAAGATTTATTGGAGGACGTGCCACTGAGTATTTACAGGGACATGTGGTTTCGGCATGATGGCTGCCCAGCGCACTATGCACTCTCAGTGAGACAGTATCTCGATCAAAACTTTCCAGGCAGATGGATAGGGCGGTCTGGTACAATACCGTGACCAGCCCGGTCACCAGATTTGAATCCTTTAGATTTTTTTTACTGGGGAACTGTAGAAGGAAAAGTGTATTTCAAGCCGATTCAAAATGTAGCTGAGCTACGGCAAAGACCATTGGAAGCAGCTGAGTTTGTTAATAACCGTGGTTTCGCTCGTTTAATAACCCGATCTTTTTTAAGAAGATGTCGAGCGTGTATTGCGGCTGAAGGAAAACAGTTTGAGCATTTGCTGTAAAGGTAAATCATCGTCAGCAGCATTTTGACGCCCACTGTTGTGCAAACAGTTATCCTTAAGGGTCCTTGTGCGTTTTCATAATCGCTGTTTAATTAGGAAATTTTGATAAATTTTCATCAGTTTTTCCTCAAATAAAAATTGTGCATAAGTTAACGAGTAGTCTTCTAAGTGTTATACCTTTTTGGAATCCTTATTAAATGCGCCAACTTTTAAGGTTACTTGCCAAACTCTCGTAGTACATTTTTTTCCAGTACAGCCAGTTAAAGTTGAGCAAAGTTTTACTTTGGAATACTTGGTTTGGAAACAAGTGGCAATTTTTCTCGAACGAGGAAAGTGGGCAGTAAGGTTGAGACACCAGTTTGAAGATGCATTATTCATCATTACATTGTAAAAATAAAATCCGAAAAAGTTAATATTTGTAGTAACAGGAGTTGACAGACTGCCGTAGGGTGTGAAATTTCTATATTTTTTTCAAAGACCTATAATTTTCAAAACACATACATAAATTTTTTTTAAATATTTTTCTGATAGCTGTTATGACTTTGCCTATCACCCGGTTTCGGCTTGACGTCGACTTCTGGGACACCCTGTATATGAGCATACAATAAAGGTATTGTTGCAATAAAAATTGCTTTGTGACGACTAAAAGAATGTACGACTTGAAAAAGAGTACAAACATAAATGGTTTGAGAACTACCAGTAAGGTGAAAGTTTGTAAAATAATATATTTATACTTAAAGATGCTAGACAATAAAATATTGCCTATACTTATGCTCACATTCGGTTATATATGTATGTAGTGCCTGATTCTCGTAAAACTTTTCTCACAAATAAAAAATATCCGAGAATGTTATTTCTCTCACATCATATTATGGAAAAGTTACCGAGAATGCCTACAGAATATGATTGAATAACGTGATCTTTTGATATTTTTTTTCTCCAATTCATATAATATGTTGAACTAGAGAAATTTTCGGATCAAGTGCCATCGTGCCTCCATTCATAGAAGAATTTATCAAATTGGGCTGCAGTGTATACACCAATCAACGACGATGAAAAGACCTAGACCTTTCTATTTACACTAAAACGCGTTGAAAGGATAAATATTAGGGAATTGCAATGTTGCCAGTTACTAGCTGATAGAATTCCTAACCTGGTAGTAAACAAACCTCAAACAAATATTTCATCGTGTAAACCAGCTATTTGGACTCATGAAAATAATAAAATTGTTAACATTCTTGAAAATCTGCATAAGCAATAGTGAAAAGTAGAAAAGTGAACTATTTTCGTATTGAATTTACCGTTAGCGAATTGGAAAGAGATTTCCTTCAGTCACAGAGCTTCAGTCGACATTGGCAACGTCGCATTTTTCTTATGAATGGACATTTTACGATAGTATAAAGTGCGTATTTTATGCTTGAGTTGTGGATTTTCACAAATCATTATTTTTGTGCTATTTGCCATAAGTTTGTTAGTGATATTGAACTGTTACCTGTTGAACAATGGTGCGATCGTGTTATGTGTACAAGATAAACAGCAGTAATCCAGAATCGGCCAATTTATCATTCCATCGGTAAGTAAGGTTATGTTTTCATATCATAGGCGTGGCAATACAAATTTTACTGAAAAAATTATCATAAAACAGTCTTTTACCATAATTTTAGTAACTTTTTGTAGCTTCCTGACGAGTTTATATGAATATATATCCATCACTAGCAGTATGATACAATTTAAAGATGTTCTGGGTGTAGTTCATCAAGTACAAAAACATCCACATACACAATCTTCATGCAACTTAAGTAAACGTGATTTTGCCAAGATTTGATTATATTTTTGTGCTAACTAGTTTATAATCATTAGACAGATCATTGGTGTAAGACATGTGTTTACAATTTTAGACTCCCATCTGACCCAGCAAAGCGCATTTTATGGATTTCACTGCTTGGCATTGACTGGGAGAAAACGTTGCCGAAAGTGGCACTGATATGCAGCAAACATTTTCATGATAGGGACTTTGAATATGATTCTGCTGGAAGAAGGCTTTTGAAGGATGGTGCTGAACCAGTAGATGTTCGCTCCATACATGATGAGCAGGAGTATTCAAGGTAAATATGTTTGTTACTTTTTTGAGTTTTTTTGACATGCTATTAATAGCATACAGATACATTTGCCCTATATATTCATATTGATTAATATTTACTCAGCATTTCTATTATCTAAAGTTTGAAGAATTAAAAATGTGTCAAGATTATACTTGTACTTTACTCTAGACTCTAGCCCTGTAAATATTTACTTTGTTATTGTATCCATAAGTATCTTAAACAAACATTATTATTCCAGCTCTGATTCAACAGTGACACTTACTCCATCAAAGGAATCAAGCTCAGAAGCCCATAGCAGTCAAGGGAGCCCTGTCAGAAAGCGGTGAGTAGAGTTCTATACGGACTTGAACTATTCTCATATAATAAGCTTATACTACATATTATTATCAAAATAAACAGATTGGCACAGTAAAATAAGTCAGTGCCTGTGTGCTTCAAGTGTGCTTTAATAAATGCAATTCATACATTCAAGTACATTACCAAACAATTATTGTCAAAACTTATCTAAATAGTATCATGTGTATGTCAAAGGATTTTGGTTGTTTACATGTGTTATGTCCAGTATTTTATGTATACCTTTTATTTTAGATTGAGAATGGAAGAGTTAGCTATACCAGGGCCTTCCCATGTGGTGTGAGTATTCTCTTAATCTAAACCATTTCATTTACTCATGTAGAAAATATTTTAGCTCAAGTCATATTCCTTTTCCTGATGAAGCTTCTAAGATGGTAGAGCCTCCAGAAATTTTGCAGTCATTCACATCATCCAGTACTGCAACTGCTTCTGAACAGGAGTATCAATTGGCAATTAGAGGCAATGTCACCAAACGAAATGTCAGAACACCACGTAAAAGAAGGTATTTGAGGGAGACAAGAACTTGTTTCTTACTAGCTATTTTGTATCAAGATGAAATGATATATAATATTATTTAATGAATAAAGTATATAGTTGACACATTTATCCTTTTCAGGCTAAAACGTTATGTTGGAGATTTATGAAGTGATGACTTTTCCACTCCCAGAAAATCAAAGTCAAATTATCGGTTGATGAAAAGTTCCCTAATGACATTGAGGAAAAAAGTAAAAAGTCTCCAAACAAGTGTTGCTGCTTTGAGGAGAAGAATAAAAACTCTAAGTGGCTTATTGAAACTTTTGAAGCAGAAGAATCACATAACAGATTCAGCTGAAACTGTATTGAAGGTAAGCAGATTTATGAAGACTGTGTGTCCCAGATACCCGAATTCATTTGAATGGAGCAATTGATCAACTTTTTTTTTCAATATAATAATTTTCATTACAACACACACACAACACTCAACATACCATAACTGGTCAGAAGACCAGTTGTAATCTTGCTCATTGAAAATAAGCATTATCATCTTATCACTTTTGCACATATAGCTCCATGATTTTTTCTTTTAATTATAGCATTTGATATTCTTTTTTTATTCGTATTTTGTTTATTTTGACTAATACTTGTTACAACAAGTATACATATCGTCATCTAACCACAGCAGGTCATGAGACTGGTTATGGTAGAAATAGAATTGAGTATGGGTATGTTCAGTGTTAATATCTTAGTTTCCTGATGTTATTTATCTTGCATAAATGTAATTAATACTAGTTTTAAAATACTCATTCTGTTCAGATTACATGATTTAATTGCATTCTAAATACTTAATATCTCTTTTAGGCATCTCTTTCTGGTATGCCTTTGGAAATCTTTGAAAGAATGTTGAGGGGGCGTACTAGCCAGAAATATAACCCTGCCTTGCGGTCATTTGCCCTCACGCTGAGCTTTTATTCCCCAAGAGCATACAATTTTGTGAGGAAGACATTTAACCTTGCTCTACCCCATCTGTCAACAATAAGCAAATGGTATAAGTCGATTGATGGTTCACCAGGCTTCACTGAGGAATCCATTGTGGCCTTGAAATTAAAACAAGGAGAAGCTTCAACCAAAAACTCTACTGTTATGTGTAATTTAGTCCTAGATGAGATGTCTATTCGGAAACAAGTTGAATGGACAGGGAGTAAGTTCACGGGGTATGTTGATATTGGGGCTAACATAGAATCAGACGTTCTACCAGAAGCAAAGGAGGTGTTGGTTTTTATGTTAGTATGCTTGAATGGAGCATGGAAAATTCCGGTGGGTTACTTTCTGTTGGATGGCTTGACTGGTTATGAAAAGGCAGAACTCGTGAAGAAATGCCTAACCTTCATCCACACTTCTGGAGTTACTGTAGCATCATTAACATTCGATGGTGCTCCAGTAAATTTCACAATGGCTTCTTGTCTAGGGACAAATCTGAACGATGTAACAAACTTGAAGACTTATTTTCTCCATCCTATAACGGGTCAAAATGTATACATATTCCTAGACCCAAGCCACATGATAAAATTAGTCAGAAACGCTTTTGGTTCCATCAAATACTTAGGTGATTCTGAAAACAATCAGATAAGTTGGGATTATTTGGTGAAGTTAGTTGATGTGCAAAATATCGAAGGTTTACATTTAGGCACAAAAATAAGAAATCGTCATCTACAGTGGACGAGAGAAAAAATGAGGGTCAAAATAGCTACACAAACTTTAAGTAGAAGTGTTGCTGATGCTTTGACCTATTTATCCAAAGATTTAAAACTAGCGACGTTTGCTAATGTGGAAGGTACCGTAAAATTTGTTCAAACATTTAACGATATTTTTGATATTTTCAACTCTAGAAACAGGTTTTCAAAGTACTTATTTAAGCGCCCACTTTCTCCAGCTACTGCAGATACATTTTTCAAATTCATGGACGAGTCAGTTCAATATATCCATGGATTGCGACTAGGTAGTCTCCCAATAATACATTCTCCAAAAAAAACTGGTTTTTTAGGATTTTTGATTTGCATTCAGAGCTTGAAACAGTTTTATAACTTGTGTATTGTAGAAAAGAAAGTTTTAAAATATATTTTGACAAATAAATTATCACAGGATCATTTAGAGCTTTTTTTTGGAGCTATTCGTAGTAAGGGAGGGTACAACAATAATCCCAGTGCAAGGCAGTTTGAAGCTGCATACAAACGATTGCTGGTGCATACAGAGATATCTGGCCCAGACACAGGAAATGTTGATAACCCAGAGCGTTTGACTATCTTATCTTGTGGCAGTGGATATCATATAACCAGGGCGGACGATGGTGAAGATCTTTTAAATAGCCCAGAATTACTTCAGTTTGAAGAAAAAATAAAAAACGATCTTGCCCTTTACCAGTGCACACCTTTTGCATGGAATCTTACAATTTATACAGAAGATGTTGTTTCATACATTGCAGGGTTTGTGGTGAATTGTTTAAAAAAATGTGTTACTTGTATAAATTGTAAGAATTCTTTAGAGGGCGATATTGACATGCCATTGCAAAAAAGAAAAGTTTATGGAGAATTGACAAAAGCCTCAGGACCAGTTATTCAAATTTGCCGCCATGGTGAAAAATACTTTCGTTTCTTCCAAAAGACAACTAATATCTTTAACAAAAATATCAAACATCTCTCGGATATTCTAGTCAATAATACCATACAATCAATATCACCACATATTTTGGGGTATTTTGAACACCACCTTGAAGATGACCCTATTGATGGGCACTGCATATTTCTGATAAAACTGATTTTGAAAAAGTATTTCTCACTCAGAATTCATCACGAAACTGTGAAAAAATCGGACAGTTTAAAAAAAAAACAGAATTAGAAGTGTATATACGAAGGCAGTATTATTCAGCCATCAGTTTGCATTCTACATCTAGAGAATCGAATTATCAATGGTTAACTTATGCTTATTCCCCGATATCGACTGTTGACTGAATATTCTTACGAAGAATTGTAATTGCTTAATTTTGTAGGTATTTATTACTTTATTTATTACTTGATAATATCTTAACATAATAAAACTCTAAGCTAAAATAAAGAAGATATTTTAATACCCCCTTACCTTAAAGTAATCAGCAACCTTTCATCAGCACTTACGCATTCCCTAAATCTTGTATTTCGTTTTGTTATTTCTGGAACAATAAGATTCAAAAGCTGTTGATATGTTTCTTTTGACATCCTATACATAGATAAAAATGTTGTATCATCATGTGAAAGTTCTTTGGCTGCAACAAATAGTCGACAGTTAATATTATTTTCGATGTAAGGATGACGCCAATAACGTTTTCTTTTTTTACGTAAACGGAGATACAAATAACACGCCAAAATATTATCATCACTCGAACTCGGAGACGACGTTATCTCGCAGAATTTCATACCGAAAATATACCGACTAATGCGTAGATGGGGGGAATGCGGTATTGATTCGGTAACAGAGCATACCGCCGCCGCGCCGATACCGCACCGACAAATCAGGAAACGGCCTAATGCTAGTACATTTCTACATTATTTACGGGTAGTATTAAAAACATCAAAAACATATGCCTTATATATATACGTATATATATATATAAATATATATCTAAACAGATGCACACATCTTGCACCCAAATACTATGAAACTTCCACTCAGGTGTCATGCTAAAGTAACGCCCAATTTCCGTTATTTTTATTCTCAGAAATTAAAGCTTAGACTATTTAATCGAATAAACATGTGATACACTCATTTCCAAATATGATACTATTAGTTTTTTCAGAATATATTAGGTTTGACAATGTCAAAGTATGAATACAATATTGGAATTAGAATTAAAAACTCGATTTAACTATGCAAAAACCCAGTATGGCATCTATAAGACAAACTGAAGTTGATGATTGAGGGCCAGACACAAAACGTCGTGTGGAAATTCTAATTATATCAATTTGAGAAGAAAAAGTTACAATCTTAATGTACATTTAATTTCGAAATCCAATGTCAAATAAATCCAGGAAAAAACAACGATTTTGGGGAAATTTGATTTCTTTCACTTTTTTATTTCACCTGGATCATGTATAATTGAATTGAAAACAAATAAATATTATATTATCATCTCCGGAAATACTCAGAATTGCGAAACCTTCTATGTGCCATTTTCTTAGTTACCGAAATGCGCAACTTTGCCCCCTATTAACCTGCTTCGTACCTCATACCGTTTCCGGCATCCCAATGCTCAGACTCGAATTTGTAATACCCGGCATAATAATATCTTATATTAGCTTACTTCTTGCAGATACTTGTCCTCCCATAGTCTCAAGAAAAGAATGGGGTGCAGTGCCTGCGAAAAGTGTGCAACCGTTAAGTAAAAATCCACCACCATACGTTGTAGTGCACCACTCTGCTAGTCAAATCTGCACTGATGAAGAATCCTGCAAACGATACGTACGCAGCGTACAACACTTCCATATGGATATTAGAGGCTGGGAAGACATTGGCTATAATTTTCTGGTCAGTCTGTTTGCTGTATTTTTTATCTATATTTTTATACCCATTCTGACAGTAAATCTTCTAACATCCTCTATTTTTTTCAAAAACAAATATGATCACAAAGTGGTTTACAGCTACAACACGTTGCATTACTGCAATCAACACGTTTATATTTTAATTTATTTCTAAGTATCTTAGACATTGAAGTATGTGTATTTCAGACAATTAAATATGTTATGTAGTAGAAGGGTTAAAGTCTTCTCCCTTTACCATAGTGTATTACATACATGGCAAGGAGATAAGTATTTATGCACGCCAAGACATGGCTAAATCCAACTCTTAGCAAACGAATGCAAGCACATGTGTCGTTGGGGTTTGCTGTTAGAAGGTATTGGAATGCGCTCGTCGACAAGTAAATTTAGTTTCGAGTTGAACCGTGTTGTGTTAAGTTTGGTGCTAGTGTCGAGCGACGAGTCTCCTCTCATCGAATGCAGACAAACGACTAAATACTAGAAGCACAACAAATCCTGTCCAGACCAAATCAAACCTCCCTTTGATGTATCGATGAAGGAGCCAACACCGACCTTGGAAACCGGTGGCTTATGTTGGCTCGCGCCGCATACGCCGATTCGAACACCTCCAAATCTGTAACAACAGCTGCCTTGCAGTCAGTCTAATCAAAGACGAAAATACCTCTGGTTCACAAAATAATTGTAAAGTCTGGTTTAATTGCTGCAAGTTGTTCAAGGAGGTATTTAAAACATGGACGCGCAAAATGGGTACACCAATTTTTGTGGAAAACCTTTTTATATGACAACAAAGAATGAGTAAACGTGTTTTTTTGGGATTCAGTCGAAAGTGTTGGCGAGAACGAAACAACTATTTATATAAGATTTTTAGGTATTTATGAGACCTACAGAATGAGACCACACTTAAAAAGATCCGACTAATAGCAAAAAAGTTATGGCCGAAAACCGTGGCAAACTGCAGGTTTTGGCACTTGTTGGTAATGTGACGATGGTTTCTCGCAGATACTTGAAATTCTTCAAATTCGTAGGTAGGAAATTTGAAAGCAAAATACACAAGTTTACCTTGCCGATATGAATTGTAAACCATTCCGGAAGATAAATGTTATTTTTATGCAAAAAAGCATTGGTTACGTTTTTTCTTGTAAACAAATTCAAACATTTCGCTGCGCTGGTTCGAATCCAACCAAGAGAATTTTTCTCTTGGTTATGGATGTTGTGATTGTCCGTAGGTGGTAGTGGTGGTTGCATGCATACGTGTTGCCTCGCTAGAGTGCGAGTAGCATCCCCCTTTCACCTGTATCCCCGTATAGCCCCTCAGTACCCAATGGGTTTTTATGCCTTAAACCTCGTGGTGGTTCAGGCATAAAAAATGTATAATGCCTTAGTTTATTAAAAGCCCGGGTAAAAAGCAGTAAAGCGTAAAAACCAAAGTCTGACAAAACTAAGTTCAAAATTATGGAAGTGGTAATATTACGACACAAAAAAGGGAATAAATATTGCAAAGTTACACGACTTTGAATGTGATTTCTTATCATGATTGTTGTCAAGGTCTACTCGTAAAGTGAATGACATTATGTCTTTAATTGTTTTCATAATCTATTTACTTTTTTCAAAGGAAATCGCATTAGTATGGTATTTTATTTTATTATAATTTATTCCTATTGAGTTTCACATGAAAAGCACTTAAGTAAATCTTTTCAAGATCTAATAATTGTATTGTATTACTTACATTCAACAAAAATAATTATATAAATAAACTAAAAACAGCATGTTCCCTTATATGTTAAGTTAAACCATGAAAATTTTTCAAAATTATTATTTCGGAGCAAATGTGATTATTATTCACAAATAATCGAGTTATTATATAAACAGATAATAAGTAAACATCATAATTATAAACGGTAAAAAGGTAGTACTTTTGACATACAGAGAATAAAGTATATTTTGTAAACTACTGCTTTTTTACTTTGATATAGTATATTGACTTACTGCTTTTACGCTTAGGAAATGTAATTAATAGGAGATGTTTGACAAAGTTTAAAAAAGGTTGTAAATATAATTATATAGACAGGTCACAAAGATACTTCTATATATATGCTCATATAGTTGACTATAGCGCCATCATTAAGGTACTGGCCTTTTCAAAGTAGATTTCTAATTGTTACGGTCAGGAGGAACATAGCTGTGACAAATTTTCATAGTTGACGCCAGGCTATTTCATCCAGGCCATTTTCTAGTTACCAAATTTTAATTATAGCTACATTTTTGTCTACAATGGTCATAATAATGCTCATAGGATAATAATGTTAGACTGAAAATAATATCAGCCATGAATGATGTAAAAAATCTCTGGTATCTACTTTTATAACAGCATAAACAATTCCAGATTGGAGGAGATGGAAAAGTTTACGAGGGCCGTGGCTGGGGAATTCATGGTGCACATGACAAAAGACACAATTCTGTGAGCTTAGGAGTCAGTCTTATTGGAAACTTTCAAGGTAAGGGGTCTAATGGTGTATCCGTCAGTATACGCACTACAGTATATAAACTGTAAGGGGTGTAATTTGGAAAGATAGAAGTAGATGGCGCGGGAAGGACAAAATTGGCTAACCGGTTGCACGGGTAGCCCAACCGGTGAGTTAAGGAATATACCTAGTAGACATGAAAATGGTAGATTTCATAGAAAGATAGCCTGCTTTTCACAACTCCATCATGTTTCGACGTCTACTGACGTAAACAGCTGATCAGCAATTGACTTATGTCTGTTTATAACATGACCTGGAACCTAACTAGCGCTCTCTACTTCTAGCTTTCCATTTGCTCTATAGCACACACACATAAGGGGAGTTGAAAAATCGGATAATCTTCAATTTTTAAAAACCATATAACCCTAAATACTAATGGTACCATGTCTATTATTTAACTGAAAAATATCCCTATACAAATACAAAATGCACCTCCATGGTTCTAGTGATGTATAATTACTGCTTAATTCTGCAGAAACCGAGCCTTTGCTCATCCAACTAGAAACACTGAAGAATTTACTAGAATGTGGAGTCAACACTAACAGGATCCAAAAAGAATACCGTATGATTGGTCATAGGCAGTCTACGCCTACACTTTGTCCAGGTGAACATCTTTTCGATATCATAGAGACTTACCCCCACTTTTACGATGGACCTAACTGAAATATATAATAATGTTATATCAATATGTTCATTGATGCTGCTGTAAATAAATACCTTTCAGTATTCATAATATTACCATACCTTTTTAAAGCGATCAAGGAGTACTCAAACATTCCTTTAAAAGGAAAGCTTTACATTTTATTGCAAACTTGGATAAACCCTTTTAAATGATATACCGTACAATATTATTTTAAAATCGTTGAGCCTTTCGTCAGAAAAATCTTATGATAGAATATTTTTTCCTATCTGCTGACTATTTCAGTTTTTTTGACAGTTTATACAGGGTAATCAAGAACGCAAGCTGAACTATTTCCTTTAATGTTCACATGGAACACTCCGTATTTTTTTCAATGTAAAACTTATGGGGATTAGTTTTGAGTTACTAAAAATACAGGGACATCATCTTAACTTTCCGACTATATTGCATGAGGTCGAGTAGATTCAGTTTGTATTAAAAATACCCCAATTCTAGTGAACTAACCTTAACAACTAAATGCTATTTTTTAGTTTATGGTATATCCTTCATTTACCTTGATATCTAACTTACAAAAAAAGTTAGTTGTAACCCAAAAACATCGTAAGTAGTACAAATCTCCATAAGAGAAATATCAAAGACAAGCTCGTGAAAAATTTTGAGAAACCGCTCATATTGCGTTTTTAAGCACCCATATAAACTAACAAAACAATTCAAAAGCAAACAGACAGATGCAAATATGGATACTTGAATTTTCAGTACTCTAGCTGTAACAGTTGTGCAGGCGCGAGTTGCCAACGTTTAGTATCTTCTTCGATAGATTATCAAAAAGTTTATGTTGTTGTTATAGTTATTTTTGTCTATTACGCTTGAAGCTGATTTATACTGTTCTGATTGTTATTAGTTCTTACGTCAAATCTGTACTCTTAGTTTGTCTTTTGTTTCCATGGATGATGTGATTTTTGTCCTTAATGTTGGTGTGTTGTTCTTTTAAAAGCTTAATAACTCAAAATCTAGTGATTTTATCTGAATGAAACCTTATAAAAAAAAGCTTATACAAAATTTAATCCAAAGTTGCACAAATATACGGGGTAAGGCATTTGAAATTTTTGACAAAAACTACAATTCGTGTTTTTGGCCATCATGTATGAGCAAAAATTAAAATTTGAGTAACAAGTAAGATAAAAGCTGAGGTGTGTAAGTTTTTTTATACAAAATTCAGCACTTCAAATTTCAAATTGGCGGACTGAGGGGTTGCCGAAGTGGAGGTTTTTTCTAGACAAGACACCTTGTATCTCAGTAGCCAATTATCAAAACCCCATAGTACGTAATATCAATTTTCTTCTTTTGAATTGATTTATCCAAATAGGCAATAAAATTTGAGTGATTCCAGTTGAAAAATCACAACTTTGATATGTAGGTCGAAATTGGGACATCCTGTGTAATGGTACTTTATAAATGTGGGTCACCCTATATATATATATATATAATACAATTAATTGTTAATTGGGAAAATTGGCAAAACATCTTAGGCTTAAGTTGACACTTTTGACGATAAAATTTGCAACAACTGTAATTTAGTTTATATAGGCCAAACTTCTAGGTCGCTGGAAGGCAGGATAACTTCACACAAAAGTGACGCCAGATTACATCCAGAGAGATGTGCTTTGGCATCGCATATTAACAACACAGGTCACTCTATGAATTATGGCAGTGTTGAGGTTCTTGATAAAGAAAAAAGACTCTCAAAACGTTTATTTTTAGAAATGTCCCACATTGTAAAGACAGATCATTGCATGAATAAAAAGGCTGATGCTAAGCAGCTCAGTGTCATTTATTCCTACCTGTTGAATTGCGAAAAGCTAGAACGGCTGCATATCCAAATTGAACCAACATCTTTGCAAAATTGGAATACATTTTCTCACTCACATTTGTAATATAAACTCACATAACCCATCTTTTCAAGGTGGTTGTATCAATATCACACATCCTCACACTCATATGAACTATACAATTTTTTCCAAGACAAGTTAATTCAGCATTTTAGTAATTTTGGGTGGAGGTTTACCGAGCGTCCCTCGTATACTTCATACCCAAAGCTGGACAGGGAGGTTTACAGTTTACGGTCCGTCGCGTCAATCACTTGTCATCTGTCGACGCTTTATCTTTCCGTGCCGTCCCCCTCTCCACATGTAGCGGAAACAGAAGGTTGGAGACTGCATTCCGATTGTTTCAACAAAATGTCGTCACACGTGTAACATTTTTAACTTGTTCGGGTGGATTGATATTTTTAACATTTAACGAAGGTATCTGTCGTTTTACAACCAACACAATGTCCCCGTCCTTTTGTTTTTATACTGATTATAACTTCGATCTTCTCTAGGTTCGTTCTGAAACACCTTGGGGCTGCAACATCACCGACGAGAAAGTTGTTTAACAATTTAAATCTGTCCTGTTTTCTTTGCTAGCATCACAATTGTGTTTTCAGAATCCTGATGAAGGCTCCATAAAAAATGCCGAAAGCTTGATTTTATCGTCAAAGGAGTCAACTTAAGCCTAAGAGTTTTGCCAATTTTCACAATTAACAATTAATTGTATTTTGTACCCAACTGGTCGCTGTTGGCTTTGGCAATGACTACCGCTCATATATCTATATATATATATATATATATAAAATTCAAACCTATATTATTATATGTATGTATGTAGGGGGGGGGGGGGGTGGCTTTGGACAGAATTCCATTAGCCACAGATTTTCTAAATTTGTATTACGTGATGCTTTATATCACCACCTTAGCTAATTTTGCGAACTCAACTATTTTGTCCAGGATGAACTTTTATATTATTATATGTTATGAATTGGTATTATTTTTGATATCACATTTTTCGTGATATTTAAAAAGGAAATAAGTTTTTAGTTCAATCAAAGTACTGTTTCTTGGTAAATTGATACACTTGATACGAAATTCCATGTTGCTTAACATGTATGCAAAGTTCTATGTTCTTGTTTAAAAAAGTTCTAAGTGTTTTTACTTTTTTGCAACAATCTTCTCCCAACGCTAACTACTTTCCATACAGCAGGTATTTTGATCATTAATTATTCATAAACTTACTATAAATACTTAGAACCTTATAACTCTAAGCCGGCGAACTACAATTATAGGTGTTGATTGTATTTATTTATACAACTACAAATATTTTGACAGCTTGAAAGTCCCCTGCTGCTTGATTAATTGGAGTATATGAAAATGAGCGGAAAAGAAATCACGTGCCGATGTTCAGCATCTTATATTTTTGTCGGAGAGTATCATGTAGCGGCAGCATACTTCTCCTACGCACAATTCTGTCAGTCATTGTGTCGGCTTCATCTGACGTTGTTGCTAGACGTTAAGAAAATTATAAGGTGTGCTTTATTTGGAATTCCAATCAAAATAAATGTGAATATGTATACGTATGATAATTAGTGGTGTGAAATATTCTATATTTACATCGATGGAGAAGTATGCCATTATTATCCTCTTGGCGATATGCACCTCACGATATTAAGGTGGTCGCCCAATAATGGCATTTTTCTCCACCAAATTATGAAATGTACTATTTTTTTGTCTCTCCTGTATCCTGTGGACGGCGCAAGCTCAATGCATAAAAACCGAACTGTCAAAAATCTAATAAGTGAATAATAAATCCACATTTATTGACTTAACAACTGACTAAGTGACATTCTAGTCCTTCGTTATTTAAAAACGGAAGCTTAACTTTTTCTAGAATAACTTATGATTATCTGTATGATTTTCATTCACTACTAACCTGAGAAGTGGCCATTATTTACCGCATTTAGCTTATAAAAAGACAATACACTTCTCCCACTAGGTAAAAAATTATAAAGAAAAAGTTCCTGGATAAACAATGAATGTGTGCATTCATGTAGAGCTTATTTGGCTTATTGGGCATAGAAGTGTTACACTATATCAATTTTTGAATATTAATAAATATTTCTTGTTTACCTGAAGTCAGTACAGTATTTTTATAATTTAAACTGTTGTCGTTAATCTTCTATCTTTGTCGCACTCTGTCATGTAGCAACAGAGTCCTCTCCTACGCAAAGTCCTGCCATGCAGACATTTCATGGGCTTCATGCGGACAGTGCTACCGGACAAAATTAAAAAAACTATTCAGATATGCTACGTTCCACTCTAATCTAAATGTGGTAATAGTAGTGAAAAAGTTCTACTTTTGCCTCGGTGTAGAAGGCCTTTATTGTCCTCATCTATCTATATAAAAACGAATCCCTATTTCGCGTGGTCACGCCATAACTTGAGAACGACTTTACCGATTTCATTCGTTTTTTTTAAGCTTCTTAATACTGTATAGAAGGCTCTTACGGAAATAAAAATCTAGAAAATTGCCCCGGAAATTGGGAAATCATTGAAAACATAGTGATTATTTGAGCTACGTGCGCTTGAGCATGGAGCACTCACACCAGAAGAAATATCTCAAGTATCAAAGGCACTTCTCTCACCATCTTTATTCCAACAGCTATTATCAGTTAGCTATGTGAGTGAAATTTGTTAATGAAAACCCGGTGCTTTCGTTTTTGGACTTTCATTTCTTTACCATCCGTACTTTATGATGGCCACGTCAAAAGAAACTGCGTGTTGCCTAATTGCTATTTTTGTCAGCCAAATCTATAAATGAAAATGGCAGATGAAACTACGTTTCTTTTATTTAATTTATATTATCGTTTAATAGTGTTTATCGATGAAAACATATTTTTTATTCAATTTGTAGTGCACAGTCCATTCGATTAGTACTTTCATCGAGTTTTCAGTTTGTTCAGTGAGTTTTTGACAAGTATTTGCTCAAGAATAATTCACAAGTGTGGGAGTTAGTTCACCGGAATCACACCTTATATTAAAATTGTGATTCTTCAAAATGCCACTAATTAGACGTATGTACCAACCTACGTCGCAAAACTACAAAGAAGTTAAACTGACAAGCAACGAGAAGCGGGAAATGAAGTTGAACGGGATCGAAGGACTAATATTTAACAACGTAGAAGTGACGTATGGAATAGTACCAATCGAGCCGCAGTCAGTTATGACATGGCAATCGATTACAGTTCACAACAAATCGTTGCTATTGGACCAATGAACGTTGTGCGTCCACATTGGAAGGCTTTCAAGTTTAAAAAGGAAGCCCCTGGATTATGTTGCGTCAGTATAAATGTCAAAGTGTCTCCATTGGTATTATCACCAGAGCCACAACATTCATTGGTTTCCGGAAATGGGAGGGATTCTATACATTTTTTGACTCATATCCAGCAATACAATAATTGCTTTCAAATGACGTCATTTGGCGGAACAAAAGTCATTCGAAATAATTGTATGCCTACTTTCAAGGTAAGGTGATGGGGGAATGGCAATGCTGCCAATGTATTTTGCTAGCCACATGGTGGTATATGCCATATTTTATTTACCCGTTCATTAATCATTATTCATCCCTGTTTATAGTTAAGACAGGACAATTATACTCATCGGCGCTATGTGCCTCAGGATATAAAAATGCTCGGTCAACAATGGCATACCTCGGCACCAAGGTATATAATAGTTTATTTTATTCCGTATCACCTAGTGATTTGGAAAAAAATTAACGAAATAAGATTTTGCGCAAATATTGTTTCTTGTTTGGCAACAATTCATTCCCACGAGCAGAGATGAAGCCACATAAACGCAAGTCGAGCACGACGTTGCCACACCTTGTGATATTGTTTTCTTAAATCGAGAGCTTAAGATATTGTTCTGCAAAAATGAGAAAATCAAAATGTCTTGCGAATATTATTTTTTTTGGAACAAAATTAAGCACTGGATAGTTTCATACAAAAAACTCCTTTATTACTGAACATTACATAACGAACTATTAATTCAAACACTTCAACTTCCACGTCTTCGTGTTCACTGTCTTGTTGAACTGTTACCGGCCCAACAGCTCAAAATTCTGTATCATAGCACCACTGGTCATTTTTGGTTACATATTTTTCAGCTAAAAACGATCATTTCATGGCTTTTTTGATTTAATGAGCGAAGGGTAAGTCTGGTACAGTTTGTGTTGATGGTAACGAATATTGTGGCGGATAGATCCCAAAACAGGGTTATACCGGTAAATACACTTCACTGTACAACATAGGACTTTTCATATTTGAAAATACGATGCTTTGAAATGGCAAACTTCTCTTTTTACTGTTTATAACTTCTATTTTAAAATTAATGAAATGCTGGGTGAAGTTGATGGTCATATCTTGGCTCGTTTGCACTACTGTGAATTTGTTTTGAAGTATTTTTATCATTTATATTTATATTTTTATCAAGTCTTTCCAGCACTTGGGCGTATACGTAGACTACTTCTTTCATACGATTTTCTTTTTCTATCAGACCAAAAGATCTGTCACAGGGTAAAAGCTGCACCCTGGCTCGGGAAACTGGTAAAGTATTACTTTTAATTTTCTTTCAGTAGTACTAGTAAACGTATGCAAAAAACTATACGAGCAGCGGGTTAGATTTTGAGCAAAGCAATTATCTGAAAGAAGGTACAGTTCGCGAATAGTGTATGGAAGAAGCGTGTTAAGGTAGTGAT